GCTGACATGAGGTGTCATTTGAGCCTGAAGAAACCATGCTTTGGGAAAAGCACTGTTAACGCTTCTCTAAGGAGGTCACAATGTATGCCATGCCTGCAGGGAGCATTTCCTTATCAATCAAACTGATCCCACTAATTCGGAAACAGAAGATGGAGTGAGCCTTTACCTGGAGAGAGGTAAAGAGCCCAGGAACTTAAATAAAGGAGTTGGTGCACCGAGGTTTGAAAATGATCAGAGGGCTATCCTTGCCTGAATTTTATGGAAATCCTCTTCTTATGATTCCTTCTCACAGACTCATATATCAGTCAGGTTCAAGTTCTTACTCTCTCATTAAGAACATTAAAAAAACAGCAGAGCTGTGGGCCATTTCACTCTGGTTAGAGCGTCAGCCTGTGGACTGAGGTTTTCAGGTTCCATTGCTGGTCAAGAGCATGTACCTCCATTGCAGGTTTGATCCCTGGCCCCTGCTGGGGATGCTTACTGTGGGAGGCAATCAATAGTTATGTTTCTCTCACATCCAAGTTAATCTTCTCTCTCTCTCTCTCTCTCTCTCTCTCTCTCTCTCTCCTTCCTTTCACATCACACTCTCTAAAAAGGAAAAAAAATATCCTCAGGTGAGAATTAAAAAAAAAAAAAGACAGCAGAGCTACACTTGAAATACATGCTAGATTCTATTAGTTTTATATGCTAATATTTTGTTTAGAATAATTATAATTGAATTCCTATATGATTTTATATATATATATAATTGATTTCAGGGAAGAAGGGAGAGGGAGAGAGAGATAGAAACATCAATGATAAAGGAGAATCATTAATTGGTTGCCTCCTGCAGCCCTACACTGGGGATCAAGGCCGCAACCTGGGCACATGCCCTGACTGGAACTGAATCGTGACCTCCTGGTTCATAGGAGGTCACATTGGTTGGGCCCGTTGTGATCTTTAGTTCATTTGTTTTTGTTTTATTATTGAGGTTCAAAAATATTCTACTTCAATTTAATAGGTCTGTCTAAAACCTATTCTTTGAATTAATAAGGATTCATTTATTCTTTCTAATATTATTTTGTTATTTTTCCATTTCCTTAATTTAAGTTCTCATGTAAAAATATTTTGAGAAGAGTATGCATGATTTGACTATATTTGTATTTATGTGGAACTGGGTATCTGCATATAAAATACACATAAATTTAAGCTTTATTGAAATACACTGTGAGCATATATTCCTGCTACTTTAAAAAACAAACAAAAAAAACCCTCTTCTACAAAAGTTCAAACTTAAAAGAGTGCTTCTATTTTCTGTAAATATTTTAATATTGAAGAAGTTACAATGTTGGTAAAAATATCAGTTTTAATTCTACTCTATTTTGAGACAATTATTTTCTAGTTCAAGAAAGTTATCTATATGGGATAAAATGCAATATTAGTTAAGAGTGAGCAATTATTAAGATATATGAGTCATTAAAAGAAAAATGTAGTTTCAAGTTTTCCTAACTGATTTAACTCAGACAGACCATCTGGTTTAAACAAATAATTACTCCAGGAATTATATTTGTGAACTTAATGCTCTTTTATGTATTTGCCAATTCCCACACCTTGTCATTTCTATCATTAGCTGGTTTGGGTTTTAGAAAACAAATCAGAACTAGTGGTGCATCTCGGCCTGGCCTATGCCCTCTCACTATCCAGGACCCCTCAAGGGATGTGAGGGAGCTGGTTGGAGTCAGATCCCGCAGGCCAGGCTGAGGGACCCTATTGGTGTATGAATTTATGCATCCGGCCTCTGGTTGTGAATAAAGCTACTATGTATATATGTGTGTAAATACCTCTTTGAGGCCCCGCTTTCAAAACTTTTAGATATATAATAAGAAATGAGATTGATGGATGATATGGTAGTTCTATTTTAAAATGTATAGGAAACTCCGCACTATTTCCATAGCAATTGCACTATTTAGCAATTTCACAGGTTTGTACATTTATCCACATCTTCACCAAAACTTACTATTTTTCTAGTATTTTGATAGTAGTCATTCTAATAGGTGTGAAGTAATATTTCATGGTGTTTCTTTGCATTCCTCTACTTACTAGTGATGTTGACTATCTTTGTATGTTTATTGCTGTTTGTATGTCATCTTTGGAGAAATGTCTATTGAGATCTTTTGCCAGTTCTTGCACCAGGTTTTTTATTTTATTGTTATTGTTGAGTTGTCGGATATTAACTCCTTATCAGATACAACTTACAGAATGGGTGTTAGAAAACAAATCAGATTTAGTGGTGCATCTTGGCCTGGCCTGTGCCCTCGCACAATCCAGAACCTCTCAAGGGATGGCAGGGAGCTGGTTGGAGTCAGATCCCGCAGGCCAGGCTGAGGGACCCTATTGGTGTATGAATTCATGCATCATTCATTCATAAATATCTCCCTCCATTCATTCATTCATAAATATCTCCCTCCCATTCTGTAAGTTGTATTTTTACTCTTTGATTTTATCCCTTAATGAACAGAGTTTTAAGTTGGATGTAGACACATTTTTCTATTTTTGCTTTCGTTGCCTAGGCTTTTAATGTCATCTTTCATAATCACTGGCAAATCCAATCTCAGGAGCTTTTCCTCCATGTTTTTTTTTCTCCTAGAAGTCTTATAGTTTGGGATCTTATATTTAGGTATTTAATCCATTTGAATTATATTTAAATATAATGTAAAATAAAAGTCTAACATTAAACTTGTGGATATCTATGTTTTCTCAACACTATTTGTTAAAGAAACTGTCCTTTAAAAATAGAATTTATGCCTACCACTGTTTCAAAACTCCACTACATATTAATTATACTATTAGAGTTTTTTATTTAATGTACAACTAAATAAGCATTTACTATATTACATATTTCCTTTTTAAATATGATGATACATGTATTTAATATAATTTTATTGCAATCCTTTGTAGTATATTTCATAAATGTATTAATTTTTATGAATTTAAAATATAACATATTTTTGTGCTTTTTTATTTATTTTAAAAATATTATGATAATGGGACTATGGGAATCACTATACAGGGTCCATTGTCTCAAAAAAAATTAAGAATTCAGAGAATTTTTTCCCCCCAGTAACTCTGGCAAACAGATGAAGTCTTGAGCTAGAGTAATGGAAATAAGAACTATGCGAAATAAGCAAATTTGCCATGATTTGATGATTAAATAAATGCCAAGACCAAAGAAAAGGTGAAGTCAATGATGACTCTCCTGTTTTAAACTTGGTTGACTGAGTGGTTGGTGGTGTGTGGCTATGGGAGTATCTGTGATCACCCCTGGGAAGAAAGTCAAAGAAGAAACTAAGGATAAGAACATAGGAGATCGATATTCAAAGACCAACCAATTCATTATCATTCATTATGGTGAAATGCACTATATATAATGAGCCAACAAATAGAACTAGTATATGAAGAATAAAACATTGATAAGCAATTGGTGGTTAATTTGCAAAGTACCATTCATTAGGACTCTATTTTGCATTTATAATTTTTGTGCTTGCAATTACTTGCAGGCAAAAAGAAATGCAACTCTGGTTGCCTAATTATAGGCACAGCCATCCAAATCCACTCTGAAAAGAACAGCACAGAGAGACACCATCTGTGAAAGTGCAGTAAGCCCCTCAGACCTCTTTTCTTCCATATTCTATGCGGCTGGTGGACACACTTCCTTTTGCCTTCTGTCCTGGCCTTTGTTCTTGTCTGATCTTGTTCATGCCTTACAGGCTAGTCCCGCTAATAGGCTGACAGTCAGTGGGCCATTCCTCTTATCAAGCCATTATGCATTTCCTATACATAATGTACCATAGTCTGAGCAGACTGAAAACGGAAGCCATTTCTGAAACACATCATTTGCCTTGTTAGTGTGAACAGATTCAATCTTTTATTCTCATATAATTTTATGAGGTAGGCAACTTGAACACTGTAAAGATGAAATTACATACAAATTTCTGCTCAAAAGCGAGAAGAAAATTATGTTACTCTACTTTAAAAAAAAGTCCCAGTTATTTATTGAAACACAGCTGTCAGTTTGAATCAAATATATTCACATTTCCCCATTAAATTCTTAGAACTGTAATGAAACTTAATACTTGTCCTTTGGAGTTTGGTTTCTTATAAAACATGATAACACAATCAGTACAATTGCAAATGATTGTTGAACTGTGTGACGATAGTTATGATTTTAGGTGGGAAACATATAGTTGATGAGAAATATAAAACCCAGGTTAACACTTAATAAAGATTCTATTTTCATACAAACATCAGTAATAATAAATATGTGGGCAACTTAGCCTCCTTTATGAAAATGACACCGATTCTTGACAGAAAAATTTTCAAAGGTTTTAATGATTGGATATTACTTGCTTATAATTTAATTACATTGAACACTTTGAATCTGATAAATCTTCTATGGTAGAAATAATACATTTTTTAAGATTGGTAAATTGGGTTGTTTATTTACAGACTAAAACCAGAATATGACATATTTCTTATATATAAACTATATATGTTTGGACTCTACTCATTGTTTTTGGGATTGTCATGAGGATTTTAGGGGCAAATGAAGGCTTAAGAATTGTAAAACGTTCAACAGTTTTTAATTTTTTAAATTTATAATAAATAGGAAAGCACATTGTTGTTCTACTACCTTAATCTCAGTGGTGAAGCAGTCATTAGACATCAGCCTTAAGTTTATGGACAATGGGGCACATATCAGTTGAAAATATGGTAACATAATTTTGATTTATTGAAAAACTTCCTTAATGTTAAGAAAATAGTCATTTGTAAAGGGGAAGTATCATCCCCACCAAAGAAGAGTAAATTACAAATAAAAGATTGTTCTGTTGTACAAAACAACACAGCTCAATGGATGCAATCAAAATTCAAAATATTATCAATGGCAGGATAAACAAAATCTGTTCATTTTCAAAAGAAGTAGAAGAACATTTTCAGACATTAAAAAGGATAATGCTACTCACATCCTGAGCTACCATTTGTGGACACCAGAGTCAAGTTGGAAGGCCACGGATTCCGAACAATATCTTGCCAATGGATTGTGTTTGCGTAACAAAGAAACTTGTTCTGGTCTACGTAGACACCACCATTTAGGATTTCTGTGTTAAAAACAAACAAACAGATTTATGGTCAAACCTTTTGTTGATGAAAAGGTAGTTAATCAAAATGAGTTAACCTTAACATATGTTCAATGTTAGAATCACTTCTTGAATAGCCAATATATCTTTAAACATATTTTTTTCTGAGTCATATAAATTAAATGGCAGAAATTGAAAAGATAAAAAATACAAAAAAACATAAGCCAAATATTCAGAGAGAAAACATTCTTATCAGAGGCTACTAATTCTTTTCCTGTTCTTTTCTTTTTCTGTAATTGGGGTGCTATTACATATAATATTGCATAGCCTGCTAATGTTAGTAGTAAGTGGTGAGTAGTTATTAATCAAATAACATTCTACATTATTTCTAGTGAGAATACAATATGCCAAAGAATAAATTAAATAGTACTTATTTGAAGAATCTCCTCTTTTTGGTCCTTTAACTTGTTTAACTCAGATTAGCTCTTTAAAATAAATTTCCACAAATGACATTCTAAAATCATACATTTTTTAAGACTTTTGGTACAAGTTGTCAAATTTCCCTTACAAAAAATTGTTTCAAGCAACGTGACATTGATTAGAGTCAGTGGGTAAATAATTAGTCCCGAATGGAAGCTAAAACTAATTAAGGCTCCAATCTAAAAAAAAAAAAAAAAAAAAAAAAAAAAAAAAAAAAAGTTATTTGTCTTGGATGGAATCAATAGAACTGTCAATCATTCCTTGAGAACAACACAATGCAAGATAGAAGAAAAACACTATGGTTCATTGCAACCATGGTATGATCATGGGATAAAATACACTAATGTCAATTTTCACTTGTTTCTCTTTTTCACAGCACTTGCCTTGATCAGGTAACTTGGTTGAACAATGGTTGATCATATACATTGATTCTCTTTAAGTTATCCAGAAATAAAGTTAATATTATTCTGTAAATACTATTGTTATTTTCCGAAGAAGTTTGTTAGAAATATATTAGCATCTTCCTGCTCAATATCTACTACATTTTCTCCTCTTGTTTAATAAAAATAACATGATAAAGTAATATATTAGTCTATTAATCATTCAGTTACATGTACAAAAACTGAATACTAGCTAAGGGGTGGTTTTTCTCACATAATAATAAGAAACCTGTAGAAGGCAGTTGCAGGTATTAGCTTGGTGCTCTACTATACGCACAACCTGCTCTGTGTGTTGGCTTTATTTTCTCCAGCCTCAAGAGGGCTTCTGCCTCTCAAGGTGTTAGTCTGAAGTCAAAGCATGTGAGGAAAGGAGAACAAGCAAGATAATCCCTCCTAGTAAGGCTCCAACCATCTCTGTGAATCTGTTCACACTAATAAGGCAAAGATTATGTATTCATTGGCCAGTACGATTTCCCACGGCCATTGTTCTGCAAGAGAGTCTGAGGAAGCAAGTATTTAGAGTAGGGGTGTCGAACTCAATCAGAGAAGGGGCCAAAATCTAAAATCCAGCCTAAATCACGGGCCGAATGGTTTACTGAACAGTCATAAACTGTCATTGTGATGGAAACGCAGCGGAGTGCGGTGATGACAGCGTGGTGCGGGCCACATTGCAAGGCCTGGCGGGACGGATTTGGCCCGCGGGCCTTGTGTTTGACACATGTGATTTAGATGGACCTATTGCTACTTGAACAAAATCTAAACAAGCACTATTATTAATGAGGAAGAAGAGGATATTGTGAAGGCAAGTGACTGTCTCCCATGGTAGCTTTGAGAATCATCTGTCTTGTACAGTAGCCCATGCTAAACTTTTTTGAGTCAGCTAAAAAAACAAATGAGGGAGATAAAATACAAAGAAATATGTGGCACCAGAAAAAGGTATTTGTGAAAGTGAGACTGCTGGGCACATCTAAGTTGCCATACTGCGTTACATGTATAAAATCCTCCAGATTTATTTTTTGATACTGCATGGCTCTCCACATTCAAAATCACTCGTATGTCCATCATCAATCCTTTCACTGACGATGGGCTCCATTTTCTCAAGTGAGAAAAAAAATTAAAGAAACAATAAGAAATTAGATAATCTTTCTACTTGTAAAACTCAGCTCATTATTTTTCGCAACCTACCCACATAACCTTCATCAAAGCAGAAGGGAGATGTAAGATGCGAGAACGATTGTGAAAATGAATGTCTACATTAATGTTTGGCATTACGTTTCTATCTAAGAAATGTGACAATATCATACTAATAGCTTTCTCAAGAGACATTAGGGAATGCTCTTCTTCTACAGAGATAATTCTTCATTAGGTGACAAAGAAAGGAGATTTTGACTGCTATCCAAGAAATAAAGGTTATTTTTCAGTCTACATTTGGAAAGTTCTACTTAAAAAATAAAAAAGTGAAGAGAAAAGTAATAACTCACACATTGTAGAAAGAGCCTGCATTTTTCAGGAGTCACATTTTAATTCAAATAGTTTATACTGAAGGAACACAGTATCCATCTCTAACTTCCTATCTAGAAATATTCAAATAGAATCAGATTATATTATATTGAATAATAATCTCATCGAATCCCTTTCTTCAACAATGTTAATCTGCTACCAATGTTTACATTTATTTCTTAGGAATATTCTGTTCTAGAGCTTGGTTTATACTTTGAAAAGGATTTAGAAAGGAGGCAATAATAATGCCAGTATAATCTTACATGTTAAAATTTCAAATTAAGACTACAATCGTAAGTCTGAATCCTTTTGTCATCCTAAATTCAAAACCCAGCATCTCTTAGCAGTTTTGATCAGGAGGATTTATAAATGTTTTGTATTTAATGATGGATAGTTTATTCATGTATGTGTGTGCATTTTCTCTGAAAATAGTTTTTTTTTCTTTTATGTTTGGCTTAGAACTATTCTTTTTTGAATGTCAAAGACCACAATAAAAAAAAAAGTGTGTTTTCTTGATAATTACAGGATAATTTTAATGTGTATTATACCTTATATTTTCTTTTTATCAACTTGATTACCTAGTTATGTCAATTATATAATTTAAAGTTGCATTTATTTGTATATTTTACAATGATTTTACAATGTTACATGATTTTTAAATATTAATTAAATATGTTTTATTGGAAATATTTAGTTAGATTTATTTCTGGAATAAGAAAATTCTAGAAAAGGTATTGACCTATAATAAGTTGTTAATGTACTGATTATTAACTGGACGAAAGGGATAACTAATGTTTCTGCCTTGGTTAACTATAGAGACAAGGTTGCATTTTTTTTTTTTTTTTTTTTTTTTTACTAGAAAGAGAGATAAGAACTGGTAAAAGAGAACAGCTTGATAAGATGTTTGCCTAAGAAGATAAAAAAAAAAAAGTCTGGCTATACTTTAGATCTATCTTTGCTAACACAGGAACACCAGAACTTTCCATCAGCATTATTAATGATTTATTGGAATGTAGCATTTCTGTTACACCGAGTGTCCTTCTTGCTATCATGAAATAAAATGAAAATTAAATTTTAAACCATGACAAAAAAAAGACAAATTATAATTCTAAGCAGGATAAGTAAATGAGGTATAAATTTAATGGGCATTCTAACAAAGATACATGCAGTCTAGAAGAGTTAAAAGTCTCAAAAAATGTTGAATAAGTAAATAAGCTCACGGCCATTGCAATTCACTTCCATTGTAGCTAATATATTGGAGTAAATTGAGAGGGACACTATTAGATTCTTGGCCATTGGAATAATTGGTGAAAAAACCTAATATGAATTTTCTTTTAGCAAGTTCCAGAAAATTCAGAAAACAGTACTGTGTCTTCTTAATATATGTCATGGTTAAATATATTATAGTAAAATATATTAAATATGAAATTTTCTGAAAAAATAATTTCATTACTGAAAAATTCCAGTAAACACTTAAATATGTGTCTCAAACATATTCTACTAGATTAATACAAGTCAAGTAAAAATATTATGAATCATTTTGTATTTTAAATAAATTGTAAGCCACACTATTTTTAATATGTTGAATTTTATGTATATCACAATACTAACTGAGAGATTAAACTGCATGAAGGCAGGTGATATTTTTCAGTGCTGCATCTATAGCATCAAACCTAGAGTAAAGAATATTTTTTAAATTGAGCTGAAAAGTAAAAGTATCATGGAAATTGCCATGAACATTGATCAGTTAACTTCCATTGTTTTTCCTAATTTTATTTTTTTAATATATTTTATTGATTTTTTACAGGGAGGAAGGGAGAGAGATAGCTAGAAATGTTGATGAGAGACAAACATCGACCAGCTGCCTCTTGCACAGCCCCTACCGGGATGTGCCCACGACCAAGGTACATGCCCTTGATTGGAATCAAACCTGGGACCTTTCAGTCCACAGGCCGATGCTCTACTACTGAGCCAAACCGACTTTGGCTGTTTTTCCTAATTTTTAATTATAGTCTGGTGAAAATAGATTAAGAAGAAATGTTGTCTTTTTCATAAACACTCAATAGTTCACCTCATCTGGTTCTACATTTTACTGAGTCTGTTTTATTCAAAACTATGTCTAATATGCAAGGCATAAGTAAGATACACAATAACTATTGTTTCATTAAAGAAAATATAATATATTGAATATAGGAAAAATTAAATATATATATATATATATATAATTTTGAGGTTAGATCTTTTATAAGCTGAAAGAGAAATATCATTGTTACAGAAAATTCTTTTAATTGATAACGTACAAAATTATTGCAGGCAGAGTGTTTGATATTTACAATTCACATTTAGACATATTCTTTGGTATCACTAAACCTATTTTGTGAACTAAATTCAATTATTTATCAAGTGAATGATAATGACTTTGTGCTATCCCAGACATACCAAATTTCCCCATATCTTGCAAATTATTAACCATACACAGACGTCTAAAAACATGTTTTTATATTGAGACATAAATCTACCACATATTGTTCCTTATATTATTATATATAAAGTTCTAAAGTGTCAATATGACATTTTAAAGAGGATATATTGTACTAGTGT